TGTGGTGCAGCCTCTGCCTCCGCTGCGGCGCTGCCTGTCAGCCGCTGGCGCCCCGCCCCTTCCTGTCTCCTGTTAGCTTTAGAGTTGAACACGTGGTAGGTACAGGACGGTTTTTTCTTTATATATTGCCATACACGTTATTTCATATCACACTTATGGGCAGCCATAGAGATAGGATTTTCTCTTTAAAATGAAAGCAAGCTTAGAAGGGGAAATACAAGGAGTTTGGTATATTAATAATGTTTGGAGAGTTTTTTAAAAAAATCTGTTCCTGTGTTCTCCCTTCAGAGTTTCTTGTATTCTAAAACATATCCCTGGAATCGAAATTTTCCTATATGCCAAGAAATAAGTACATATTTATAATTATAATTTTACCATGTTATAATAAAATCAGTGCAGTTTTTAATTGCTCAAAGCTACCTGAAAATACTACAAACTATTGTTCTTCAAGATTTGTCCATTACCTGTACTTGTCACTTACTGTTATTTACAGAAAACTTTGCTCCTAAATGAGGAACACTTTAAAAGTAGGGTAATTCGGGGGTGGGGGTTGGAGGGAAGGGGAATCTGAGGACCATTAAGCAAAATTTCTCAGCTGTAAAATAATTGTTTTTAGAATCCAACAATATTAATTTCCTTCCTTGCTTCCTTCTTCTTTGCGGTAGTCCTTCCTTCTTTCTTTCCTTCCAGGAACTGTAATGCTCCAACTGTTCTTTTATAAAAAATTCTTCTGGCTATTCTGGGCACAATGTATAGGCATCTACATTTTATGAATAGTTACTCACTGCCATTAGAGCCTGTTGGAATTTGATAGGGGATTGCACTGAATATACAGATAATCTCTTTACCTGAAAAGACTCTCCTCTTTCCAGATCTTAGTTCAATTGGCCTCCCTGCCTTGCTCAGCTTTCAGATGAATTTAAAATAAAACTTTGGCAACTAACTCCCTTTATCTTGGTTTTTATAGGAGGAAATTGTGCCTTTTACTGCTACATTGTACTCAAAAGCCTATGCTCTCCCAGGTTAACTCTGAAGTATCAAATAACACAGGATCAAATGAATAACAATCCTTAGTGACAGGTGTACTTATTAGGCACAATTGGAAGCACTCGACACAAATACAGGGTGTCCCCCCAAATATGTATACACACTTTAAACACTGCCTTTATAATTATTCAAAGTGTGTGCATACATTTTTGGGGGACACCCTATAGCAGCTGTGGGCAAACTACAGCCAGGATCTGGCCCGTTTGAAATGAATAAAACTAAAAAAAAAAAAAGACCGTACCCTGTTATGTAATGATGTTTACTTTGAATTTATATTAGTTCACACAAACACTCCATCCATGCTTTTGTTCCGGCCCTCCTGTCCAGTTTAAGAACCCATTGTGGCCCTCGAGCCAAAAAGTTTGCCCACCCCTGCCCTATAGTATACTTACTACTCACAAAGACCACCCAAAGAGGATATCATGTTTTCTGACTTTTTACTGATGATTATTGCCCGGGCTGGGGTCCAGGGGTTCCCAAAGGTGTGGACAGAGTCGGCGAAGAATGTTTTACACGTCCGTGAAACTTCCTGTGCCTGGCTGAGGCCACAGAGAAAGATCCTGAGGGAAGCTGAGCTTTTATTTTATAGTCAGAGGTAAACAGGTAGTGGTTACCAAAGTTACACTGTTCTTGTGAGTTTCACTTGTTTACACTCTTCTTGTTGTGAGTTTCTGTTTTTGTTTTTGTTGCACTTCCCTCAGTCCATTAGCTCCCCAGGTAAGATCTAGGGAGCATTATAAGGTCAAGCCTAATTATGCTTAAGAGGACTGTGCCCTCTAAGCTGGGACTTGTTTGTGACTTTGCCAACAGGTCAGTCCGAGGTTTAACCCTATAGCGGCTCCCCACAGATTATACTCAGACAGTAGTTTTAAAAGAGTCCAAGATCAGAGAATCTGTGTTTTCTGTTCTGGCAGTCTGATTCCAAGATCCTCTGCTAAACACCATTACTCTATAAAAATTGTCACTGAATAAAACCCAAGTGTAGAGGCTGGTTTTAACACCTATTAATCTTTAAAAAACTAAGTAGTAAAAAACGAATTAAACAGAGAAAAATAAAACCATATATTTATATATAGGAGTCTGGAATCTGCAATGAAAAACGTTCTTTTGAAGTACTCAGTATTTATAAAATTTCTAAATATTTAAATATTAATATTTAAAAAATATTAAATATTAATATTTAAATATTAAATAGACTCAAAAGGGAAACTTTATCAAAGACCTAAGCATGAAAGATATGTATGATTGCTGTTAATAATGGGTTGGAAGTCTGCATGGGAGAAAAGTCAGATTTAAACCTAAATGACCTCCTGACACTAATTTTATATTTTGGAAAGTATAGAACACTAATTCCATCCTTTAGATGTACGTGTATTTGTCTGAGTTAGTGGGGGTGTGTTTATGAGCTTGTTGCAAATATAGTTATGCAAAAGTATTAATTATCAGCAACCAGCTTTTATAGTGTTCCTGAGAAAATCTAGGATGGTTTTGATAGGAAAAGCTTGAATTCTTTCCACATAATTCTAGGATTAAAAAAAATTCATAGTGATGATCACCCTAGTTCTGACGAAGCTCTATCTAATAGTTTAGACATTCACTGCATATTGGGTTTTTAAATTTTTTTTGGGTTTTTAAACAACTAATGTTGAACACAAATTATGGAAAGGTCAAAGAAGGAAAAAATTGCAAAACAGTATGTCTATTTGCATCCTAGCAAATGAGAATTCAGCTTTCACTTCAACATCAGTTATGAAGTAATCCAGTCAGTGGCAGGGACACACACTGTTTGAATGGGAGTCCATGGAAAACAATATCCTATGTAATAAGAAAGGAATATGCTAATTAGCCGTTAAGCCCTGAGGTGTAACGCTTATGCGCATTACAGCTAGATCACGGATCAGCAGGAGGGTGGGCCAACGAGGTACAAGCGGGCTGCAGAGAGTTACAGGACGGGGCAGGGCAGCAAGCATGTGGGAGGCGGAGAACTACAGGAGAGGGCAGGGCAACAAGCTATGGAGGGGGTGGGGGGAGCTACAAGAGGGCGGGCAGCAGGCGGAGAGCTACAGGAGGGTGGCAGCGACCTACTGGCACACGGATTTGTGCCCAGGGCTACTAGTTTTCCCATAAAGATAGCATTGAACTTTTCTATTAGCATACCCTGAAGCTTTCCTGCTTGGCATTGGTCGCAGAATTGAAACCAGAAATTCACTGCAAATTCAGAAAACAACTGCACATTGAATTTAAGGTGAGAATATTAAAAGAATCACGACCAGTGATATTAGACTTGGATTTCTTTATCTTTTTAGACATCATGGCTTTACTACCAGCCATTCTTTCCAGCCTATTCACAATACAATTTGTTCTAGGATATTTTGCCAATGGCTTCATAGCACTGGTGAACTGCATTGACTGGGTCAAGAGACAAAAGATCTCCTGCGCTGATGGAATTCTCACTGCTCTGGCTGTCTCCAGAATTTGTTTGCTCTGTGTATTAGTACTAAATTGGTATGCAATTGTATTTAATCTAGCATTTTATAGTTTAGATGTAAAACTTATATTTCATATTGCCTGGATGACAAGCCACCATTTTAGTCTGTGGCTTGCTACTAGCCTTAGCATATTTTATTTGCTCAAGATAGCCAATTTCTCCAGCCTTTTATTTCTTCACCTCAAATGGAGAGCTGAAAGAGTGGTTATCATGATACTGTTGGGGGCTTTGGTCTTCTTGGTTTTTCATCTTGCAGTGGTAGGCACAGATGAAAAAATGCAGATGAATGAAGATAAAGGAAACATCACTTGGGAGACTAACTTGGGGGACATTATGCACCTTTCAAATCAGACTTTATTCATGCTTGCAAACTTCATACCCTTTACTATGTCCCTGGCAGCTGTTCTGCTGTTAATCTTTTCCATGTGGAAACATCTGAAGAACATGCAGCTCAGTGGCAAAGGAACTCAAGATCCCAGCACCGAGGTCCACATAAGAGCCATGCAAACTGTGATCTCCTTTCTCTTGGTATTTTTCATTTTTTTCTTCACTCAAATCATCTCACTTTGGAATTCGAGTACTCAGCAGAACAATTCGCTTCACATGGTTTGCAAGGTTCTTGGAATCCTGTATCCGTCAAGCCACTCATTTATTCTGATTTGGGGGAATAAGAAGCTGAGACAGGCCTTTCTGTCATTTCTGTGGCAGTTGAGGTGCTGGTTGAGGAAAGGGAAATAAGTGGGGCACCTTGTGTCTTTTGGCAGAAAACAAACTGATGGAGTCCATAACATTTGTACTTCCTACATATTTCTTAGTGTGTATAGAATTGGGTAAGTTACACCTAGAAAAACTTCTACTTAAGTTTGCCACAAAAATATATATGTGTGTGCATGTTTATGACAAAAAAAAAGAGCATAAGATTACCATTTTTTTTTAGATAAGCAATCTAATTTTACAAAATTGTGTAAGAAATTCTTAAGAATCATGAAGTCATGTATTTCACATACATGTTCTATGTTATCCTCTTGAAATTGAAGAATTTGTGCTCTATATTTATGCATATTTAAGGACTGACAACCCATCTCAGGAAATCATTGCTACTTTCCATTGTAGTTAGTACCACACATATGTACCACAGTGAATGTAGACTTTGTTGTTTGAACCTCCAATCCTTTGGATGGTAAGGATATTCAATTCTAAGTCACACCCTGAGAATAGATGCTTGGCATAGATATTCCATCATGAATTCTTGCTTCATGGTTAATAGAAAGTAATTAGAACTGTTAGGAAAAGATGCATGTAGTGAAATTTTTTAAAGAAAAAAAATGTCATTTTATTTAGTTTTCCCATAAACTGTGTTTGGGCCTCCGAATTGCCAATCATCTCCATCTCACTATCTAAAGATTCCTTTTAAACTTTAGATAAAAATAATAAAAATGAAAAGGCTTACGGTATGAGCTTGGTGTTATGTATTTTATTCAGTTTTCCCATAGAAGATGATTTACAGAAAAACACAAAAGATACTAATTGTAAGGCCTGGTAATACTAAGAGACCACATAAGGGAGTGGTGTTCAATTTCCCCTTGGTAGCCAAGATCAGTTACCCCAGCCAGCACAGTATCTCCCTTCTTTGCCTGTTGATAGAGGCTTAAGGAGTCCAAAGTGGTTGGATAGCAGTCTTAAGTTCCAGTTTGATAAAATTGTTGCTATGTCTCTGGGTAGAAGTGTTCCTTCCTTTGTCCAATGTCCTCCAGGCCAGCAAAACATAAGGTCGTAGGAAGAGGAAACAAATTTTGCTATTGGGTTACTAGGGGCAATAGTGAGTGGTGACACATTTTCACCCCTTGATTCCTGCACTTGTGAATCCTGGTTACTGGAGAGACAGCACCATTTATTGCATGCTGATTCCAAGCATATGTAACCTGGAGAACCTTGCTCCAGCCCTGAAAGATATTGCCACTTAATTGGTACTACCAGTGAGTCTTCAAAAAGCCATTATACCAGTGGTTCTCAACCTTCCTAATGCTGCGACCCTTTAATACAGTTCCTCATGTTGTGGTGACCCCAACAATAAAATTATTTTCGTCGCTACTTCATAACTAATTTTGCTACTGTTATGAATCGTAATGTAAATATCTGTGCAGGATGTATTTAGGCGACCCCTGTGAAAGGGTCTTTCGACCCCCAAAGGGGTTGCGACCCACAGGTTGAGAAACGCTGCATTATACTATTCTGTTAAGCTAGCTGCTTCAGGATGGTGGAGAACATGGTTAAGATGAGTAAATTCCACGAGCCTGGGCCCTTTGCCACACCTATCTTGCTGTGAAGTTGGGTCCTTGATCAGAAGCAATGTTGTATACATTACCTTGATGGTGGATAAGGCATTGTGTAAGCGCGTGCATGTAGTTTTGGCAGAAGCATTGCATTCAGAGAAAGCAAATCCATATCCAGAATAAGCATCTATTCCAGTAAGAACAATACATCTCCTCTTCCATTATGAAAGTAGTCCACCAGGTAACTGGGCGATCAACCCTTGAGAATGGTGCCATATTTGAGACTCAGTGTTGGTGTCTGCTATTGGCACATTGGGCATTCAGCAGTGACCACTTTGTTCCTACTGCTCCAGCTATGTTGTACATGAGCCCACTGGGTGATACCAGGAATGGCTGAGAAAAGACTGTTATCCACAGACCCCATCATCTTATCTACCTCTTTATTAAAATTTGTCTGTGTTGAAGCCACCCTATAGGAACATTCACATGGGACACAAATACCTTCACAATTTTTGCCCATTCAGAGATGTCTGTCCACACACCTCTTTCTCAAATTGACTTATCACTAATTTCCCAATCATGTTCCTTCCAAGCTGCTGCCTATAGCCAAACCATTGGCCACAGTCAGTGCATCAGTATGGAATTACAGCTCTACCCATTTCTCCTCCAAAGCAAAGGGAACACCCAGGTACAATAGTCAGAATTCTGTCACTAGGAGGATTTCCCTTACCCACTGTCATTTGAAGATGTCCCAAGAAAGGAGCTGCAGTGCTGCAGCTTTCCACTTAGGGATGGCACCTGCATGTTGTACAGAATCATCTGTAAACCAGGCCCAAGACATTTCTTCCTGTGTCAACTGATTGTAGGGAACTCTCCATGAGGCCAGAGGTGCAGGCTAGAAAAGAAAGGGCAGTGAAGCAGGAGTGGGGACCATGGGCATTTGGGCCACTTCTTCATGTAACTTACTGGTGTCATCAGGGCTTGCTTAGGCATGATCTTTTATATTCCATTTCCATTCACTGATGCGCATGTGCAACTTCATGACTCCGCTGGTCAGAAAACACTCAGGTTATAATGGGCAGCTCAGGTCACATGGTAACTTGGTGGCCCATGGCGAAGTGTTTTATCTCTATGAAGGCCCAGTAGCAGGCTAAGAGCTGTCTCTAGCTCCAGAGGATGGCAAGACTGCTCCAACGTCCCAAGGACCTGCACTGTGATTCATCCATAGAGGCTGAAAACACCATCCCTATCTGTCACTGACACTTCATATAAGAGAGTATAGACTCTATTTTATTAATATATTCCAGATGTAGACAAGATTTAATACACAAAAGTAGGTGAAGGTTTTTGTTATGGAATACAAACATACAGAGAGCTGGCTGCTTTGATTGTACCACTTCAGTTTCAGCACAGAATAAATATAGATAGCAAAAATTCACTAGTGCAGATCTGAAAGCACCACAATCCTTTCCAGAAGAAGCATATTCTTACACAGACAAATCAACAAACTGAAGACTAGCAAACCTAATTCTGGGGCATTTCTCACCAGATAGAGAAGAGATTTTTCTCTACCAAATAGAGCAAAATCAAATTCTCTATTATTGCCACTGTATTCATTTGCTATTGCTGTGTAGCAAATTACCACAAATGTAGTGGCTAAACCCCAAAAACACACATATATTATTTCTATGGGGGTTTTTTGGAGTCAGGAATATGGGCAAGAATTACCTGTGTTCTCTGCTTCATGATCTTACACAGCTGCAGAGGTTTCAATTATACTAAATTCTTACCTGCACGCATGACTGGAGAAGAGCCTACTTCCAAGCTCATGCAAATTGTTGGCAGAATTCATTTTCTTGCAGCGCTCTGCATAGGTACTTTGTAACATGACTGTTTACTTCTTCAAGGCTAGTAAGAATCTCTCTCACTCAGGGGAGGCCCAGCATTCTCAAAAGCTTTACCTGATTGCATCAGGCACATGAAGGATAATCTCTCTTTTGATGAACTCAAAATCAGTTGATTTGGGATCTTAATTACATGTACAATCCCTTTATGCTTGCCATATTCTGAAGGCTAGGAGCAAGTCATAGGTCTTGCCCACACTGAAATTATATGTGGTATGAACATCTGGGAAGAGTAATCATGGAGACCCCTGTAGGATCTGTACACCACAGCTGCCACAAATGAGGAATAATATATTGTCGGTGCACAAATCGAAACAAGAACCAACTTGGTCATGTACATGTTCATGAAAAGACTCCTCTGTAAGTGTAACAGTGCTATTGGTGGGTCTCACTAGTGGTTTTACATCTCCAGAGCATTGAGGGCTGGCCTGACTTTTGGGAGTGTTGAAATTGAGTTATGTAACCCTAAATTTATATATATATATTTCCCATTCCAAGGCAAAGGTTTTAATTTTCTTGATGGTGTCTTTTCAGGAAATCTAATTCATTACTTTTGTTGTTGTTGTGTGTGTGTGTTGTGTCCTAGGCAAGAATCTTTGTTTATCCCAAGGCTACAAAAATATTATATATATGTACTAGAGGCCCGGTGCACAAAAATTTGTGCACTGGGGGGGGGGAGGGGGGTTCCCCAGCCCGGCCTGTGCCCTCTCGCAGTCTGGGACCCCTCGGGAGATAACGACCTGCTGGCTTAGGCCTGCTCCCGGGTGGCAGAGGGCAGGCCCAATCCCTAAGTGCAGCCCCTGGTCAGGTTCAGAGCAGGGCCAATTGGGGAGTTGGGGCACCGCCCCGTCATGCACAGAGCAGGGCGGATCGAGAGGTTGCGATGCCACCCTCAGTCACGCTCAGGGTAGGGCGGATTGGGGGGTGGGGGCACCGCCCCCTGTCACACTCAAGGCAGGGTCGATGGGGAGGTTGCGGTGCCACCCCCTGTCACGCACAGAGCAGGGCCAACCAGGGGGTTGGGGCGCTGCCCCCTGTCACACACAGAGCAGGGCCAATCAGGGGGTTTGGGCGCTGCCCCCTGTCACACACAGAGCAGGGCCAATCAGGGGGTTTGGGCGCTGCCCCCTGTCACACACAGAGCAGGGCCAATCAGGGGGTTTGGGCGCTGCCCCCTGTCACACACAGAGCAGGGCCAATCAGGGGGTTTGGGCGCTGCCCCCTGTCACGCTGATCCCGATGCTGGGAGCCTCACTGCTCTGCTGATCCCGGTGCTGGGAGGCATATTACCCTTTTACTATATAGAATAGAGGCCTGGTGCATGGGTGGGGGCTGGCTGATTTGCCCTGAAGGGTGTCCTGGATCAGGGTGGGGGTCCCCACTGGGGTGCCTGGCCAGTCTGGGTGAGGGTCTGAGGGCTGTTTTCTGGCTGGCGAGTGACTGAAGCTTCCAACCGCTCCTTGTTTTCTTTTTTTTATTCTGGGCCAGCTTTAGCTCTGAGGTGTAGCTGCTGAAAACATCAATACAATGTTGCAGTCTGGCTGGCTTTCAGTCCGGCTGGTTTCTGGGGTTTTGTTTAGCTTCTTATTTGCTACATAGTTGCTTAGAGTTGCAGCTGAGAGGCCGGCAAGTTAGGCGGGGAACGTTGGAGTCCGCAGTCACTGGAGCAAGCAAGCCTCCCTGCTCGCTTCAGTGCCTGGCTGCCGGCCGCCATCTTGGCTGACAGTTAATTTGCATAAGGATATGCTGATTAGCCAATGGGAAGGGTAGCGGTCGTACGCCAATTACCATGTTTCTCTTTTATTAGTGTAGAGAACAGTGGTGGGCAACCTTTTTGTGAGTGCGTGCCAAAACCAGCAAAATCTCTGACTCAAAATTCTTCTGCATGCCAACCCTAATTTTTTGAGAACATGTTATGCCTACTTGATATCTCTTAAGGTGTATGTATGTGAAGAACCTTGAAGAAATAATAAAATTCATTCGAGCGACAAAAACACAGTATACAATGATGATGAAAAATACATTTATTTTTTAATGTATACATGTTATGTAAAATTATTTATTTATCTAAGATGCACCTACACTGAATTTATCTGAAAAATAAAAAAGTCGATATTAAGAAAAAAATTGTAAATAGAAGATTATAAGAGAGGCTTTCGCGTGCCAGCAGGAGTTACTGGCGTGCCATGTTTGGCACGTGTGCCAGGGTTTGCCCACCCTGTTCTAGAAGCTTCATTATATTATCTATATACTAGAGGCCCGGTGCACAAAAATTTGTGCACTCGAGGGGGAAGGGGGGGGGTCCCTCAGACCGGCCTGTGCCCTCTTGCAGTCTGGGACCCCTCAGGGGATGACCACCTGATGGCTTAGGCCCACTCCCCGGGGGATTGGGCCTAAGATGGCAATCAGACATCCCTCTGGCAGCCCGGCAGCCCTCGGGGGATGTCCACTTGCCAGCGGGGAACAGGCCTAAACTGCAGTCGGACATCCTTAGCGCTGCTGAGGAGGCAGGAGAGGCTCCCACCACCACTGCTGTACTAGTAGCCATCAGCCTGGCTTGTGGCTGAGCAGAGCTCCTCCCATGTGAGAGCGCCCTGACCACCAGAGGGCAGCTCCTGCATTGAGCGTCTGCCCCCTGGTGGTCAGTGTGTGTCATAGTGACCAGTCATTCCCAGTCCTTCTGCTGTTAGGGTCAGTTTGCATATTACCCTTTTACTATATAGGATAGAGGCCTGGTGCATGGGTGGGGGCTGACTGGTTTGCCCTGAATGGTGTCCCGGATCAGGGTGGGGGTCCCCACCGGGGTGCCTGGCCAGTCTGGGTGAGGGGCTGAGGGCCGTTTTCAGGCTGGCGGACGACTGACGCTCCCAACCTCTCCTTTTTTTCTTTCTTTTTTAATTTTTTATTCTGGGATTTATTTACCTTCTATGGCTGTCACTGGAACTGAGAGCTGGCTTTAGCTCTGAGTCTCGGCTCCAGCTCTGAGACCTCGGCTGCTGAAAGCGGGTATCTGGGTTTGTGTGGCTTCTATAATTGAAACACTGTTGCAACTCTAGCTCTGAGGCCCGGCTGGCTGAAAGCAGGTTTCTGGAGTTTTGTTTAGCTTCTATAATTGCAACATTGTTTCTTAGAGTGCAGCTCAGAGGCCGGCAGCAGCAGGCAGGGAACCTTGGCTTCCTCCATCACTGGAGCAAGCAAGCCTCCTGTTCGCTTCAGCTGCCTGGCTGCCGGCCGCCATCTTGTTTGGCAGTTAATTTGCATATCACCCTGATTAGCCAATGGGAAGCGTGTCGGAGGTACGGTTAATTACCATGTTTGTCTATTATTAGATAGGATATGAAAGCCTAATATGCTAACCGCTCGACCAATTGCTATGACATGCACTGACCACCAGGGGGCAGTTGCTCCAACCCGTAGGTTAGCTTGCTGCTGTGGTCTGGCCTATCGGGACTGGGCAAAATGGGGCCAGACACTCCCTGGAGCCCTCCCTCGGTCCCTTCCCAGCCAGCAAGGTGGAGGGACCCCACCCATGCACAAATTTGTGCACTGGGCCTCTAGTCTTTTATATTTAGGTCTATGATCTCCTCAAATTAATTTTATTGTATGGTGTAAAATAAGAATTGAAGTTTATTTTTCCATGCTGTTATTCACTTTCCCAGCAACATTTATTGAAGAATTTTATTATTTCCTATTGAATTGTTTTAGTTCCTTTGTTATAATATAAATACTGAAACAATAATATCCAAGGTAAGAAGCTGATTTTAGCATTAATTAATCATAAAATAAATGTTAAGCAGTCATAAAAGAATTAAACAGAGAAAGTCAGACTGAATTTCATATATAGAGAAGTCTAGACTCTCCAGTGGAAACCACAGATCCTACAGAGTCTCCATGATTACTGTTCCCAGATGTTCATACCACATATAATTTCAGTGTGGGCAAGACCTATGACTTGCTCCTAGCCTTCAGAATATGGCAAGCATAAAGGGATTGTACATGTAATTAAGATCCCAAATCAACTGATTTTGAGTTCATCAAAAGAGAGATTATCCTTCATGTGCCTGATGCAATCAGGTAAAGCTTTTGAGAATGCTGGGCCTCCCCTGAGTGAGAGAGATTCTTACTAGCCTTGAAGAAGTGAACTTTTTAAGTTTCCAAGGAATATTTATAACACTTGTGAGCATTTATATTAAATATTTAATATGTAAATTTTACATAGACTCAAATGAGAAATTCTATCAAAGCCTTAACATGAGAGATGTTTGACATCTTTTGGTAATGATCTGAAAAGCTTGAATGAAATAAAAGATGGATTTAAACCTAGATGACCTCACTGAGACACATTTTTCCATTTTGAAAACTGTGGGACAATAATTTCTTTCTTCCATGAGCTCTGTGTGTGTGTGTGTGTGTGTGTGTGTGTGTGTGTGTGTGTGTACATATGCTTGTATTCTTATGAGTTTATAAACAATAAGAGTATACCTAAATGTTAGTTATCAGCAACCAGCCCTTAGTGAGTCTTGACCTTCCTGGGGTACCAAGAAAACCTTGATGCTTTAGTAAGAAAAGCTTGGATTCTTTCTACATTTATCTGATATTAAAAACAAAAAGTGGGATAAATGGTGATGGAATGAGCCTTGACTAGGGGTGGTGAACACACAATATCAAACACACAATATCATATACAGAGAGTATATTATAGAATTGTACACCTGAAACCTATATAATTTTATTAACCAATGTCATCTCAATAAATTCAATAAAAATTAAAAAAAAATCTATGGTGATAATAATCCTATCTATGGCCAAGCTTCGTTGAACAATTGAGCATTCTCTGTGTATTCAATGTATTGGGTTTTTAAATGTTTCTAATGACGAAGTTGATGAACATGAATTATAACGAGGTTAAAGAAAGACAATTGCAAAACAATGAAAGAGGATATGTCTATATTTGCATGCTAGCAAATGAGAATTCAGCTTTCACAGCAACACCAGTTATGAGATATTCCAGCCTACAGGAAGGACATAAAGTATTTGAATAGGAGTTCATATAAGCTGTTTGGAACATAACAACGTTTTTCATAAAGAAAGCACTGAGCTCTTCCATTAGCATACCCTGGTGCTTTCCTGCTTTTCATTGGTCATAAAATTGAAAAGAAACAAGTATTTTATGCACATTTAAGATCAGCTGCAAATAGAACTTAAGGTCAAAATATCAAATGAATCACAACCAGTGATATTTGGCTTGGCCTTTCCCCCCCCCTCAACATGATGAGTTTATTCCTGAGCATTCTTTCCACACTAGTTATAGCAGGATTTGTTCTAGGAAACTTTGCCAATGGCTTCATAGCACTGGTGAACTGCATTGACTGGGTCAAGAGACAAAAGATCTCCTGCGCTGATGGAATTCTCACTGGTCTGGCGGTGTCCAGAATTGGTTTGCTCTGGGTAATAATATTCCATTGGTATGCAACTCTGTTTAATCCAGCTTTGTATAGTTTAAGAGTAAGAACTGTTGCTGCTATTGTCTGGGTAGTAAGCAACCATTTTAGCCTCTGGCTTGCTACCAGCCTCAGCATATTTTATTTGCTCAAGATAGCAAATTTCTCCAGCCTATTTTTTCTTCACCTAAAATGGAGAGCTAAAAGAGTGGTTCTCATGATACTGTGGGGGACTTTGGTCTTCTTGGTTTTTCGTCTTGCAGTGTTAAGCATAGATGAAGAAATGAAGATGAGTGAATATAAAGGAAACATCACTTGGAAGACCAACTTGAGGAACATTATACACCTTTCAAATTTGACTATATTTACGCTCGCAAACTTCATACCCTTTTCTGTGTCTCTGACAGCTGTTCTGCTGTTAATCCTTTCCCTGTGGAAACATCTCAAGAGGATGCAGCTCAGTGGTAAAGAAACTCAAGATCTCAGCACCAAGGTCCATGTAAGGGCCATGCAAACTGTGATCTCCTTTCTCTTGCTATTTGCCATTTACTTTGTGACTCTAATCATCTCAGTTTGGAGTTTCTATAATCCTCAGAATATACCAGTTTTTCTGTGTTTCCAGGTTTTGGCACTTGTCTATGTTTCAGGCCACTCGCTAATTCTGATTTGGGGAAACAAGAAGCTAAATCAGGACTTTCTCTCAGCTTTATGGCAGGTGAGATGCTGGCTGAAAGAATGGAAACCTTCAACACTATAGATCAACAAGAGGGAAATCATTTGTGTTCCAGCAAAAATAAAGTGATGGAGCCTGTAACATATTATACTTCCTACTGGTTTTACCACAGTGTATATAACTGAACAGTTTTCAAAGATTTGCCTAAGTTTATCAGGTAAAAAGAAATATATGTGGGTGTATGAAAACTATGAGAAAAAAATGGAAAGAACTTACCTTGAATCAATTTTTTCAGAAAAGCAATTTAATTATACGCAATACTGTGAGAAATTCCTTAGAATTATAAAGTCATGTGTATTTCACAAACATAATCCATGTTATCATGTTGCAATTGAAAAATTTGTGATCTATATTTATGGATTTTTAAGAGCTGCCAACTTAACTCTGAAAATCATTGTTATTTTTAATTGTAATTTGCACCCCAGTGTGTTTAGATTTTAGTGTTGGAACTCCTAATCTTTTTCATGGTAAGGATATTCCATTCTAAATCATACAGTGAGTATGCTTATTTGGGACAGACTTTATTCCACCGTAAATATTCAATTTCTGGTTAACAGACAGCAACCAGAACTTTTGCTAAGAATTTAAGAGTGACAAACATATTTAGAGTAAATCCTAAATTTACTTACAATTCAAGAGTGACATAGTTAGCCGAAACTGGTTTGGCTCAGTGGATAGAGCATCGGCCTGTGGGCTGAAAGGTCCCAGGTTCGATTCCGGTCAAGGGCATGTACCTGGGTTGCGGGCACATCCCCAGTAGGAGGTGTGCAGGAGGCAGCTGATCGATGTTTCTCTCTCATCGATGTTTCTGACTATCTCTCTCCCTTCCTCTCTGTAAAAAATCAATAAACTATATTAAAAAAAGAGTGACATATTTAGAATAAATTCTGTATATGTATACAATAAAGAGTACTAAAGAATATTTGATTTGATACAAACAGATGAAAAGCTTAGAAAAATCACATGCTGCAATAGAGATAAAGATGAAAGAAACTTGATTGAGACATTATTGAAAAGTTGTTATCAAATTTTATGCTGTTAGGAAATTCATCTTTTTATAGTTTTTGAAGGAAAACTATTGTTGAAGTTGAGGTCTGATGTCAAATATTTCAGGCTTTTTCTATACCACTCCTGGACTTTATATTTACAAATAATTCCTACATCTTCATTCTTAAATTTACTTTTAAACGTGAGATAAGAAGACTTAGATCTTCCCCATTAAAAAAAAAAGCTCACTGTATAAATAGTAAAGAAATTGTGGTATATAATTCAATGAATTTTTATGCATACATTAAAATGGCATTTATGAAGTCTATATAATAATTATGGGGTTATCTTAAAGATCTGTTTTAAAATAATTGGAAAATGATGGAATCAAAGAAAATATGTTTGAAAATTCCTTGATGGAAAGCTCTATTACAAGAAAGTAAGGTACAATCTTGTTCAGCAACTTGAATTCTACATGACTGTATTAACTCTTAGGTTATGAAATATTAGCATCTTCTAAAAGTTAAAATAAATCATATCCACATCTGATTTTTTGTGCATATCATTTATCTTCCCCAGTACAATATAAGCCTCAGAAAAGTGATGACCATGTCTATGTTGTTTGCTACTCACTCCCAGGACCTACCAGGCAACCGATACAATAGTTGGTCAAAATGGAGGAATGAAATAACTATATTCAGGCTGGGAAACAATGAAAATGAAACTTCACAAAACCTATAGATTGCATGAATTTCTTGGTTCATGTGACAGGTATATCTGAGAATCATTTCTCAGAGCAAAATTTTGGCTATTACATCATTGTATGGGGGAAATATCACTAGAATATAGCCTTGACTCATCCATATTATATGTGTGGAGTGGAGACAAGGTGGGACATCAAAATTAGGTAGCATCTATTACAATAGTTTGAAAAAGGCATATAAAGGATTTTTCTAAATTTGTGTATATATATATATTTCTGATATTTTTAATGATATTTTTCAAGCTGAGTATTGCATATATAAAAATGATATCTGACTTACTAAAATTGAGTTCATAATTGCTTCACTAACTCAGCTGCCCTACTAAAATGTTATTTTATATACAATATTTTCTGTATCTTTTCTACATAAACTTTTGTTTTTATTATATATTTTATTGAAATATATTTGACACATCACATTGTGTAAATTTAGTCTTCTAAATAAGCTTTTTATTATAATACTAGTGGCCCAGTGCATGAATTCATGTACATTGAAAGGAAATTAATTAGAAGAAACATTTTAATGTCATTATTCGCCCTTTCTCTATAATAGAAGTGTCAACCAAATTCACAATCGACAATGACAGATGGAAACACACGTGTGCGATTGGTGCCAGCGAGAGCTTTATATGTATTGCATATGCGCGAGTCAACTTAGCCTTTTATAGATATAGAACAAACTTGCTTAATTAGACCTGCTTTCTGATTTAGTTAAACTTTTTCCAGCCCAATGAAGCACCCCAACTTTGCTTTCAGGTAATTGTCAGGAACACAGCAGTAAGTATCAACACAAAGAAGATTATTGTAGATTATGCAGGGAGAACAAAGGGTAAAATATTTAACTGCAACGGTTTTTGACTATATTCTGCACAGTGAGAAAACCTGTAGTCATTTTCAAGGTTCACCATTTCTTACTTCTTTTCAGTCGGGTCAACTTTCAAAGCTTTCTAAATCTCCATTTTCTGGCTAATGAAAAGAAAATAGGATTCCATCGAGTCTCCTATCTACCTACTCCAGGACTTCTGTGAGGATCAAATGAGATGAGGCAT